AAGTTAGGACTAGAAGCACGATTTGCACAAGAAAAACTGGCCAGATTTATGAAAGAATTTGAGCATCAGGTTAACATTTTATTTGGTGATTTACTTTAGTTTTTACTTTACAGTTTGGAGTACGTAGAAAGAAAACGAAATCCTTCCCTTTTGTGTTCCGATCATTAGAATAAGGATAAAAATCTTTACATAGTAGACTCTCCCTAGGTGCTGTGTGGATGTTGTGTGACCTTGTGTTTTTGACATATGATCTGGTCAAATTATCTAATGTCAGAGAGATGAACATAATGGAGTCATAGCAAGAAACATTGAGTTCTCACAGCTGATAATTGACTACCAGCGAAAGCTGCGTGAAAGTTCTGAGTCCCTAAATACCAATGAGGAGCTGTCACGCAAGTTAACAATGGAGGTAATTTTCTTTTTTACCCCCCTGATGGTTATTTTGTTGATCGTCTTCCATCAACATTCATGGTATATTGCTATATAGGTCTCTGTCCTGAAGAATGAAAAGGAAATATTGCTAAACTCCGAGAAGAGAGCTTTTGATGAAGTTCGCAGTTTGTCGGAGAGAGTTTATCGTTTGCAGGTTTTCTTGCTTCATTGATGTTTTCAGGTTATAGATTGGCTTTAGGTAGCTTTTATTCTTATTTTACTGGCGTCTTTATTCAGGCCAGTTTGGACACCATGCATAGTACGCAGGAAGTGCACGAGGTAGCTTATTATCAATGAATTTATTTTCCATCTACACTTCCTCTTTAATGTTCTAAACTTTTATTTTGTGTCGATGTGATAGGAGGCCAGAAGCATTGAGAGGAGAAAGCACGAGGAGTATGCTAAAAAAATTGAGGTATATCCTATTGTATTACCGTTTTGCTGCATCCTTTCCTCTCATTTTAACTGACCCATGGATGTGAAAATTACTACATGATTCTCTCTCCTAAGCTTTCCGAGCATTCGTGGTTATTTGGCTTATGGCATTATCCTCATCAAATGCATATGTATCGTCTCTTTTGACCAGTAATAAATTGCGAAGTTTCAATTGCAGAAAGAATGGGCTGAAGCTAAAAAGGAGCTTCAGGAAGAACGTGATAAAGTTCGGAATCTTACACTTGAGCGCGAAAATGCCATGATGAACGCCTTGAAACAAGTTGAAACTCAGGCTAAAGAATTAGCTGATGCCTTGCATTCTGTGGCTGCAGTTGAAGCTAGGGCTTCCATTGCAGAGGTCTTCAATTTGGAAAATTTCCACTCTATCGATTGTTTAATTTATCTGCTTGCAATTTTTAGTTTTTTCTTGTTCACAATAAAAGTTGTTTTTTGATCTGTAATCATTACTTCATCCAGGCCCGTTGTGCTGATTTGGAGAAGATAGTTAAATCTGCACAAGTGAAGGTATTTTGTTTGCTGTGTCCATTCTCAGTGGTACCATCTGGCCCACAAAATGTGTTTATCATGTTGTATTCTTTGACATTGATGCACTTAGATGAAGGTTGCTCAAAGTTATTTCTGCAATAAATAATTAAAGCTGCTCCCCTTTTTATGTTTTAGTGAGTCTGTTGAAAACGGTGGTCTTATTTCATCTGCCCTTTGTTTTTTTCCCTTCTCAAGTTCAATGTGTTGAGTGTGAGTGTCTTCTGACTCTGTTTTTCTGTGCTTCAGGATTCTAAAGATGTCGAAGGTGGTCCATCCTCCTCCTCTAGTAACAAGGTACTTCAATTAAATATTTAACTGCAGACTGCTTATAATTGCTATGCTTCTGTATACTTCCATATGAGCGCCTAGAATTTTTTTTCCCTTTTTAAGCATTCCTGTCTTTCGAAACCAATGATATTGCCAAAGTTCAGTTTTTAGTAAAACAAGGTATCAGAAAAAAATTGCTCTTTTACAGTTTTCTCTGCTTGATACCACTTATCTGTGTTTGTACTGTATGATTACAATGGCTGTGTTCTTCAAAAGACTAACCATCATTATGTACAATTATTCAACTTGGATCTAGATTGAAAATTTACTATTATCACATTATTTATGACTCATAATGCTGCTCTGCTTCGAAAACTTGCTCTTATGATATTGCTATTGTTATGATGCTAAACCGTCAGGTTTCATCTTAGATGTTACTTGAAGTTTTCATGCATGTTGCTTTTTATCAGTATCATGAATTGGCTAGTTTCTGGTTGATACTTATGATGTTCCTGCTAATATGCTCAAGACTTTGGAGGATTTACGGGTTGAAATTGAAACACTGAGACAAGAGGCGCAGACTAGCAAAGATCACATGGTTCAGGTACTCATTGCATTTAATGGTTTTCTGTGGAGGCATTTAATGGTCTAAATTTATTTTCCTGTGTACAGTATAAAAGCATAGCTGAAGTAAATGAAGCAGCACTTAAACAGATGGAATCTGCCCTCGAGAAGTTTAGAATGGAGGTATGTTGAAGGAATTTAAGCATGCATAACATCTATTCTCCAATGACCCCTCACTCGTTTACTCAAGTCTGTTGCATGTTGTAGGCTGATAAAGTTAGGAAATCACTTGAAGCAGAAGTTCAATCACTTAGAGAGCGGATTAATGAACTTGAAAGGGAATGTAATCTGAAGTCTGAGGAAGCAGCTTCTGCAAATGCAGGAAAACAAGAAGCTCTTGTGGGTGCTTTATCTGAAATTGCTAGTCTGAAGGAGGATTGTGCTAATAAAATGTGAGTTTTTTGAGGTTAATATTGTGTATTCAATTTATTTATGTTGTCATTTTAGTTAGTTTATTTATTATTATTATTTTTTTTGGCAAGGTCCCAAGTTGTGGTGATGGAAGCACAAATCTCTGCCTTGAAAGATGATTTGGAGAATGAGCATCAAAGATGGCGTGCTGCTCAAGCCAATTACGAAAGACAGGTTTCTTTTATATGTTGGCAATCAGTGATGGTTTTCCCGCAGAATTGTTGGCATTTTGTTATCTAATTGTTTATTGACAATTAAAGGTTTCATTAAGTAGGTACTCCCGTATATGGAAGTACATAAGAATCAGTCACATTAAAATATCATTTTTGAATTTGCAAAAACGTCAACTAGTACTCCAATATATGTGAAATGTAGGAAGTAGCTACACAACCTTTTTTGCTGCATTTGGGTCCCCAAACTTCCATTTTTGTAGCATTTGGGACATAGAAAAAAGTATGGGGACCTACTTGCTTCATTTTCCATAGGTTGGGGACCCAAATTGTAATTTTCCGTATGGATTTTGGCTTAAAAGATATTTTGTTTTTAACCCTATATTTTGTCGATTTCAGAAAATTTTAGAACGATATTAAGTTTACTGTTTTTACTCATTTCAGTTACCTTTAGAATCTTAAAAGTAAGAATATTCGAGCCAACAATCGTTCCATCTTGGTTTCCTATTTATCGAATATTGCATTGTAAATAAAGAGAGGAAATGACTTTTAGTGTCAAACATCTATTGATGGTTTGTGTATGTAAAGAGTTGTTAACTTCACATGCCTACCAAGGAGTTAGATTTTCTACTTAAATTGAAGTTCTTTTAAGTGAAGCAGCTCAGCTATACTTATCAACTTCTGAATTTAATGTCAATGTTGTCCTATTCTGTTTGTCTTTGTTTGTTATTACATTTTCAGGAGAATTCTGATATTTTTCTGTTTGTAATCAGTAACTACAATTGCTTGTATATTTGATACTATACAATTGTCTACTTGGAATTTGGAGAAGGATATACACCTCCTGGTTGCATCGATTGTTTATTTATTTTCTCCAGGTTATTCTACAATCAGAAACAATTCAGGAGTTGATGAAAACATCTCAAGCCTTGGCTTCAGCACAGGAGGAAACATCTGAGCTTCGTAAAGTGGCAGATGCACTCAAAAATGAAAATGTAACTTCTTTTCCACCTCAGTTCTCTTCTCTTCTTGCCTGGTTCTAATTCATGCTCATATAATATTTTACTCATTACGACCACGAATTGTTCAAGAAAGATATTGTTAATTTGATTCAGGATGGTGATAGTTTTTATTGAATTAACGGTGCATTTTTTTTATCATAAACATAACTTGAGGTGATGCTTCCTATAGTTATTTAATTTCAAGTAATGCAATATCATTCCACAGAAGATCCATTTGGGCTTTCAGCTGTTGAGTTTTCAGTGTCTCGCCAGTATTGGCAGAAAGCATCTTTTCCACAATTTATTGATGCATTTTGAAATTTTCTCAATCCTATCCTTCAAATGATTTATTATTTCGTTTCTATTTTCTTCTAGTTATCACTGATTGAGATAACATCCACTTATTTGTTCAGAATGAGCTGAAGGCCAAGTGGGAAGCTGAAAAGTTATCTCTAGAAACATCTAAAAATGGAGTAGATAAGAAATATGGTGAAGTTAATGAACTGAACAAGATGATGTACAGTCGGATTGAGGCCTTGCAAATCAAATTAGCTGATAAGGATCGAGGAATGGCTTCTGGGAGCACATCTCAGACTTTGGGTAATGAGGATGGATTGCAAGATGTTGTAAGTTATCTGCGGCGGTCAAAGGAAATTGCAGAAACAGAAATTTCCCTATTGAAACAGGAGAAGCTTCGATTGCAGTCACAGTTAGAGAGTGCTCTAAAGGCAGCAGAGTTAGCGCAAGCATCACTTAATGCAGAGCGGGCAATATCTCGAGCATCGCTATTCACCGAGGAAGACTTCAAATCTCTTCAACTTCAGGTGAGGGAACTGAACTTGCTTCGAGAAAGTAATGTGCAGCTCCGGGAAGAAAACCGACATAATTTCGAAGAATGCCAGAAACTTCGTGAAGGAGCCCAAAAAGTCAGGACTGAAATCGAGAATCTGGAGAGACTTCTTAAAGACAGGGACAGAGAGGCAGAAGCTTTCAAGAAAGAAATTGAAATGCAGAAGATCGAGAAAGAGCATCTTGAGAAGAGAATTGTTGAGTTGCTGGAGAAGTCCAAGGATGTCGATGAATATCGTAGCATGAGAGAATCTTTTGAGCAGATGCAAGTGAATATGAGAGAGAAGGATGCACAGTTGGAGGAAATTAAGAAACTTGTATCTGAGAAGCAGGATGCTACATCCCATTTAGAGCAAGACCTTACTAGGAGCAAAACAGAATTGAATGAGAGAGAGAGCAGAATTAATGAAATCTTGCAAGCCGAGGCTTCTTTGAGATCAGAAGTTGAAAGATTTAAGAGATCAAATGTTCAATTGAGGAGGAAGTTGGAAAACTTGTCAAAGGAAAAGGAGGAACTGAGCAAAGAGATTCAAGTACTTTCCAAACAATTGGAAGATGCCAAACAAGTGAAGAGGAATTTAGGGGATGCTGCAGGTGAACTGGCAATGAAGGAAAAAGAGAGGGAGAAAGACACAAGAATACAGATTCTTGAGAAAACTCTGGAGAGGCATAGAGAGGATTTGAAGAAGGAGAAAGATGATCGTAATAAAGATAAAGAAAAATTTCATAAGAATCGAAAGATAATTCTTGACTCTTATGAGAGTGTCAGTCAGCAGAGGACAAAGCTCGTAGATGAGCTGGAAAAGCATAAGCATGCGATGAACACACTCCATGATGAAGTGGAGAAACTAAAGAATGGCAGTCAGTCCGAGTCTACGTCAGTGGTTCAACGTTTTACTGGCACTCTATTGGAGGATTTTTCTGCTGCCTATTTCCAGGCTGTAGAAAATTTTGAGCGAGTTGCACTACCAGTTCGCATTGAGCTTGAAGCTTCCACTTCTACTGATCCTTCTTCTCTGGATACTTCATCTGCAGGAGCTACAACTGTTCAAGCAGGCCCTGCAATTACCCAAAATATTTTACCACCTCCAGCTGCTGCTGCTGCTGCAGCAAATGTTCCTGCAACAAAAACAGTTGAAGAAAGGGAGAAACGATTTACTTTTCCAAAGACAAATGTTAAAACAGGGAGGAAACTGGTCCGTCCTAGTATTACAAAGCCTAAAGAACCTCGAGGTGATGTAGAGATGTCAGAAGCTGGCGAGTCTAACAATGGTGTCAAGCAGTCATCGTCTCAAAATATAGAAACTCAAGGAAATCTGATCATACCAACACTTGTTCGCAAACGTCCATCATCTTCAGTTTCCTCTGATTTGCAAGAAGATGTACTGGCTCCAGAGGAAACTAGCTCTGACATGACAGCACCTGAACCGAAAAAGTCTAAAGGTGCAGAGACCCAAAGAGATGGTGGTGAAGAACACTCCACTGCTACTTTGAAAGCTCCCCTAGTTTCAACTCCCCCTGAAGATTCGCCTGAGGATGTTGAAAATGTTCATCAAGATATCGAGGAACATGTAGATGCTGAAAGGGATGAGTTAGCAACTGCAGGGGAGGAAGTTGAAGAGCCAAAGAATCAGGCTGAATTACAGAGTGACACTAGTGATGTAGCAGAAGAGAATTTGGATAAACCAAGTGAAGTTGTATTGCAAGACGAACAATTGAGAGATCAGACTGAACAAGACGTCCAGCGTATAGGAACAGAATCTGAGAGCAGGGAAGAGGGAGAGCTGGTCGCAGACGATGTGGACACTGAGCGAAGTGCTATTACATCTAATGCAATGGAGGTATCAGGAGTCGGGGAGTTTCAACCGGAGCATGCAACATTCGAGAATTCTCCAGCAGCTGACGAACCCTTGGAAGTTGGGGAGATTGATCCTTCCCAAGTTTTGGACGAAGAAAAAAATGAAGGGGATGAAATGACCGAGGACGTTGTTGAAAGTTCAGATAAGATTGATGATGGCACCGACCAAGTTGCAGAAACAGATCAGGTCCCTGGAGATTCTAATAATGCTGGTCAGGAAGCAACAACTAGCAGTGCTGTTGAAACTGGGGCTCCAGAACAAGGTGGTTCAACTGTCACCAGTGTCGTGGAAGGAATACAGACGCCCACTGTTACTAGCAGCAGCTCGACAACCATCAATTGGCAGGAGAGAGCTAGGTTAAGGGCATCTATTAGACAGGCTGGTATGCTTGCTCCTTCGCCAGGTAGAGCTCGCGGAAGTGGAAGAGCAACTAGGGCTCGTGGTGCGCGAGGTGGTCGTGCTGGTCGTGGACAAGCACCTGGTTAACAGGGTCAGGATCTATAAATTGATAAAAGAAGATGCGTCATCTTGGTTTTTATGAGCTTTCAGAAATTGTAAGACCACTGCAGCTGAGCTTTTATGGAACATAGATAACATCATGGAAAATTGAAAGTATAGTTTTGTCGTCANGCGTCATCTTGGTTTTTATGTGCTTCAGAAATTGTAAGAACACTGCTGCTGAGCTTTTATGGCACATAGATAACATCATGGAAAATTGAAAGTATAAGTTTTGTCGTCAAGAATGATAAATGGCAATATTGGAATGGCATCAATTCCCAACTATTTATTATCTATACTTCAATTGCATTCAATTGTATAACGTTTTAAACTATATTTCCTTTTCTAAATTCTGAAGCACGAGACTCAATTTCTTTTCATCTCCATTTCCCCCCTGAAATTAAGAGTTGAGAACGTCTGTAGAACCAATAGCGATAAAATGAATAATAGTAATCTTTGTAGAAATTTATTGTATCTAGTCTGAATATTGTTTGGCGTAGAGGTGTCAATTCGGGTGGTTCGGACCGCGTCGGCCCGTCAACATATGAGCCCGGTAACGGCCTTCGTGAAAAAAGCCCGCTCGCTACGGGCTCCGGTCAGTTTCGAGTCGGTCCACAAATTTTGGACTACAATTCGACCCGCCCGTTCACCCATCCGGGTCGAGTCCGCGCAGGTCGCTGTTTGTTCTGATTTGACCAGTATTATTATATAAATAAAATT